GGGTAAATTTCACAAATGGTACCTGAACTTTAGCTGGAATTTCGAAGTGGTACCTGAACTTCAAATCCTTTCACAAAAATCCCTGAACTTACACAATCCTTTCACTAATGAGCCATTAGCCCGTTTCTAGGTTAACTTCCGGTCATTAGGGCCAAATTCGAATTTTATATATTTTAAAATTTTCAATTTGACCCCATTTCTTCTTTTCTTTTCTTCCACGCCCCGCCGCCGCCGCCCGCCGGTCAAAGTCGCCGGAAAATGAACTTTTTCCGATTCCGGCGGAACCAATGTCATTCTCTTCGCCTTGAGACGAGGATCAATAATATCCAAACCATTTTGTCTAATTTGGCCTGTAACTTCTCGAATCTGAATTTTTCTACTCGAAAAAACCCTAAAATTCGAAATTGGATCCAAAATTGGGGGTTTTGCAAATTTTCATCAAATCTTGCAATTGAGGGGTCCTTGGAGGTCGCCCGGATGCCACGACCGCATTGGCGTTGGTTCCCGCCGTCAATTTCGCCGGAGTTGGCCGGAAAACGCTCCGACCCGCCGGCGGTTTCCGGCGGGTCGGAGCGTTTTCCGGCTAAATCTTAATGGCGCTAATAAACTCAAATGAGAAGAAAATGAATAGTAGGAACTTGTAGTGTATGCCTCCTCCCTCCTTCCTTTCTCCTTGTTCGCTTTTAAAGTGGAGGGAGTAAGCCTTTTTATCTCATCAAGGTCCCCACTCTTTTGTCTTGTAATCTTTGGTGGGGGCAAGATAATATTCTTTACCGCACTGCATAATCTCTAGACCCACAAATATTATCATATCTTAATAATTTTATCTTCTTCGTCTTCATATCTCTAGTTCTGTCTTGAATATATATCAAATTTATATCTTGGATCAGACTGAACTAGGCTTACTTGTACTTTTCAAATAACATTAGATTGGGAAAAATCTATAATCCATAAGATGATATTCATAATATCTGAGGAATAGTTTTATAAGTAATCAGTAATCTGATCAAAACAGATAAACAAAAAAACTATCTTAGAAATAAATAAGTAAACCCTGCTTATTTTTTCTGACTTTTAAGCAATATATAAGTCAACTTACAAGTACAAAGATCCAAGTCATCTGTTGACTTATAAGTTAAAAACAGTTTATAATTAGTTTTGACAAACTTATAAGCACAAAAAATCATCCACATAAATCTCAACTTTGAGCGGCCTTCTTGATGGTGTGAAAGGAACTGTGTTTCAGTTGACCGAGTTGATGGGTTCAACCAGACAAGGTAAATACACAGAAAAACAAAAACACAGCATGAATGACCTAGATCGGGGAAGAACTCTCGTATCCGAATTTATAGTCCTTACTCTGTCTCAAGTGTACAAATTTGTGAGAATGAAGTAAATATCCCCTCCCCCTTCTAATATGTACAACATATTTACATAGAGTAGAGGAGACTATATAAAATAACTGATTGTTATTTAGCAGCAAGTCTAACGCCAATCAATATCTATGTATGGAAAGAATCTTTTGACTTGTCAACCATCAATTTGGTCATTAATGAGTGTCAATCTAACAATCAATCAAGTTGTTCTCCAAGGGTAGCAAAGTTATTCACGTATAATTTGAAAAGTATTTAGTCTAGAGGGACATTGATGTAACAACAGTAGAATCGTAAAGACATGACATATATTTTAAAGAGTGAGGTTCCCATGACATTGGAACCCCTTGTCATGGGATGACCCGTGGGCGTTCCGATGTCCCATTCGTAAAATTGACGATTTCTACCCCTAACTCTCCCGGTAAACCTCCCACCCCGCCCCGATCCGAACACACCCCCACCCCCTTCAATTGTGTGTTCGGGTCGGAAGGGGGTGGATGGATTACCGGAAAGGTTAGAGAGAACAGAAACTGTCAAATTTACGAACAGAACACCGGAGAGCCTCGAGTCAATCATGTACATTTTCATTTGGGGTAATAAACTTGTCTTACACATACCGGGTAAATTTCAGTAATGTTACCTAAACTTTCACTGAAATTTTGAAGTAGTACCTAAACTTTAAATCCTTTCAGAAAAATACATGAACATACATAATTCTTTCACTAAAAGCCCATTTACCCATTTCCAGGTTAACTTCTGGTCATTTGGGCCAAATTAGAATTTTATATATTTTAAAATTTTCAATTTTACCCCATTTCTTTTTTTCTTCTTCCCCTCCCACCCCCTTCTCAAGCTCCTCCCTCCAACAGAGCTTCCTCAAGCTCCTCCCTCAAGCTTCCTCACCTACGAATGCACCGACCAGCTCTTCAACACCGTTGCTTGTCAGAATCGACGATCTTGAACACGTCTTCGCCTCCGCCAGGAATCTAGACGTCATCGTCTTCTCACAGTCTCTCGAGGTTTGCAATGGACTCAACAATTTGGGCGCCGCCGGCCAGCAGAAATACGTCGTTGAGGTCAGATGGGTCGTCGCTCAGGGAGAACCCCTTGACGGAAACAACCCTCCCGCCGTCGTTGCCGCCCTGAATTTGATCTATGAAGACAACGACCACTGCAATGTCATCGTGGTACCCCCTTCTCGCCCCACTCCCCATGCCTTGATCGCGTCATAGTTCATCCCGGCCTTTGCTGCCGCCTCAGAATTTGGGGTTCTTGCTCACCCAATTCCAGAGGCGTCGGTGAGTAGTAGTCCATTTCCATGATTAATTATTTACCCAATTTCTCGGTCATTCTACACATATTTCATGATTTTCTTGATCGCCCATGAAGAATTATTATTTTCTATATTCAGGAATAATGAGGGAGAAGCCTCGTATATATAGTTACAAAGGATTCCTAATTACGTAAGGAAACCTATACATGTAAACTACCATAATTACAATGATCACATAATTAATATTAAATATATACATAACATATTTAACATGCACCCAACTAAGATACTGTAAGGCGCCGATGATGGATCTGTATATAGAGGGGTCCGGAAGTGGTGTTCCGGACGTGGCTGACAGCTTTGCTTTGGTGTCGACTGGTGTAGAAATGGGCTTGCAGTGGAGCATGTCAGCACGTTCCAGGATTTCATGGGCAAACTGTGTCTGGTGAAGAAAGAGGCCGCTGCCAGTGCGTTGAACATTGATCCCAAGGAAAAAATTGAGGTCCCCCATGTCTGTCATGGCGAACTCTCCCTTAAGTTTTTGAGTAAGGCGGGTGAGGAGAGCAGTGGAGGAGGCTGTGAGAACTATGTCGTCCACATAAAGGAGAAGATAAGCCATGTCAGAGCCATGAGAATAAACAAATAGGGATGTGTCACTTTTGCAGCCCCGAAAGC